AGTGCTTTGGCTTGCGAGTCCGTTCGAAGTGCCCGCATGACTATCGTGGCTGGTAGATGGTCAATAGGTGGTCGAGTACTTTGTTGGCGAAACATACAAGTGTAGCTCTTCTTTAGTGAGCAGAGTTGCTGGTGACAGATATTCCTGCACCCAAGACGTGATCGCAGGTCTGGTCTCGTCGTTCGCGAATGCCTTTGCGATATCATCGGGATCCAGTGAAATGTTGCGTTCGTCCAAGACTCGTAGCAGATGCTGATGCTCTTTCGGTGCCATCGTGATACAGCTTTTAGCCCGGCCTTGCTACCGGAAAGCCTCGAACGTACAGTCTTGATCTGCTGTCGAAGTTGCGAGCCAGTGAGTACCCTTAAGGGCCTGCAAAACGTCATGAACTTGGCGGGCGTTGAAAGGTTTCGTACAGGTAGGCGCAGAACTCTCTTTGGGTAAAGCGTCTTACCATTAAAAGATATGTACAAGCGGGAATGGTGTAGCCGATCTGTGCAGCAGCGGGTTGCCGTTCTGCACAACAGGAGGCGGTGTTTTGAATTGACTTCCGAAAGGAGAAGGAACGCCATGCCAAGTGCCCCACTTCTCCTCCACACGACACGCGAGCATCTGCAGGTCGACCAACTGAAGCCTGACACCTGCATTGCAATGACCAGATAACAAACATGGCGCTGAGGTCACCACTTCGGCAAACGCTGAGAGCCTCTCAGTCCAGAGCTCCTATCATCCATCAGCTCCGCGCCGCAACAACCTCGTCCTTACCAAAAGACACTCCCGCCTCACGCCGGCGCAGCATCACAGTGGTCAGCGACACAGGTCAAGTACCGTGGAAGAGCCTCTCAGTCGGCGAAAAGGCAGCCCGCACAACGCAGCAATCCTTCCACCTTGGCCTCATCCTGCTCGGCGTGGGTCTCACAGGAACAGTAGCCTACGTGCTCTACCTTGAAGTGTTCTCCACCGACAGCAAGGTCGCTGTCTTCAACCGCGCCGCGGACCGCGTGCGAAAAGATCCCAAATGCATTGAATTGTTAGCTGGCAGTGATGGTATGCGTCACACGAAGAGGGAGATCAGTGCGTATGGTGAGCCATCTTGGAGTAAATGGGCGAGGAACAGGACAGTGAGTAGTAGGAATGAGACGGATCGGGCGGGAGTGGAGCACATACATATGCATTTCTATGTCGAGGGGCCGGCGGCGAAGGGGACGGTGAATCTGCATATGTCAAGGATGCCGGGGCAGAAGGACTTTGAGTATAGGGTGTTGGCGCTGGACGTCCCGGGTCAGCAGAGGGTGTATCTTGAGAACATCGATGGAGAGAAGCTGGATCAGAGGAAGCAGGGGAAGATGTTTGGGGTGCGGTGGAATTGAGGATTGATGCGACTCATTCCAGTGGAGGATGAATATCGGCCATGCACTTTCCAATCTTGTTCTCCTACCGTTCTGGGTCACTATGCCAGCTCGGATAACAGTTGGCATCAGTGATGAGGCGACCTTGTCGGTATCTCCACAGCAACAAAGCGTCATAGCTTGATTTGCTCCGTTAAAGGCGCACATACACAGTTGCCAGCGCCGAACAGGGCATGTGTGCTCTAGGGCTATCCCTGGCGCTCAAGCTCATCATGAATAGAGCTGGTTGGCCGGATTCCCTCAGTGACAGACCAGCGATGCATGTGGTTCTTGATTAGCTTCAGTGTACTGATCAATCTGCGACATACAGCAGACGCTTTCGAAAGGCGCGATCGACCTGCATTCGCCTAGAGCTTGGCTCTCATATGAGGGCCTGAGCGATCTTCAAGCCGCGGCATCCGATTATCTCTGCAATCAAAGGTCCTGATCAGCTCCACACACAAACGACACGACCACCAACGCGCCACTCAACTCTGGGAAAAATGTACACACGCGGCCCAGGCGCACTCTACATCTGGCCTCCGGGCTGTACGGACGATGAAGTCACGCCGCTGTATATCGAACCAGACCACATCGAAGGCACCGTCCTGAAATCGAAGCGGGACATCGGCCAGCAGGATATCACAGTGAGCACGATTCGTGCTGCGCTGGTCGGTCTCGAAGGGCACGGAGACGCAAATGATCAGCTCATCTACAAGGAGTATCGTATCAGGTGTGTCGATTGCGTGACGTTCGCTGCGACTGCGGCGGCACTGACACGAATGGCAGCACGGAGATACCCACAAGCAATTCGGAAGGGATTTGTCATTCTTTGGTGCGGAACAAATGTGACAACGAAGGTCAGGCTCTGTATGAGCTGAATATTCGAGATTGTAAGTTCGTTCCCACTCTTTTGGGCACATATCATCACATCGATAAGACGAGCTTGGTGAAGACGGATGGATTGATCATGACGAGGGTACCGGGTCTCACGTTGGGTGATTGCTACAGCCGTATGTGTCCGGAGGAACAAGCGATGGTGAAGAAGGCTTTTGCTGTGGCTCTGGAGGCGGTGAATGCGCATCGCATCGACAACGGAAGTCATCACTTGGGTAATGTCTTGTGGAATAGGGAGGAACACAAGTGGTAAGCATCTCCTCTTGTCAAGCTGATTGCGTGCCGGATGGCTGACAATGCAGCTACATCGTCGACTTCGAGCGCGCGTGCTGGGGGGAGGATATCAAGTATGAGTCGGCGGAAAAGTGGGGCTTATACTGAGGCCGGCTTGTGGACATCCCACAGCTGCGCACTTGCTGAAAGGGCCACGCAGCTAACGGCGAGAGCTCAGGGGCTATGCGGCGACGGGGAGATTGCTGCAGACAGTTTTTACAAATTGAAATGCTGAAGATCGATCGCAGCCTTCTCCGCAATGCCGAATAGTGTTCGCGCTGGTATACGGCACACGAACAGCTGCAATCTGGTCGCTCATGCCACGGAGAGCCTTGCACTCCTCTTCCATTCTTCTTGGCTTTTTGAACCATCTCCGCGAAGCCGAATGGCGATCGAGCCGGTATACTCCATGTGGACAGCTGAACTGGATCGCTCGTTAGTACGGAGAGCCTCGCACCTCTCTTCCAGGTTTGCGGCCTCTTTTCTACGATATGCCGTTCTTCTGATCCTCGACCAAGTGAGGGGCAGCTGGCGACCCTTTGCGCGATACAAACGGGCTCGGCAGGCATGACAGGGATTTGCCTCGATTGGCTTGCACGTGCGACACAAATTCTCGCACGGCCGTTGAGACCGGTGAATACGAAGCTTCACTTCTCCATCACCCGGAGATACATGTAAGGTTACACAATAGCTGACCTGTTCAGCACTCTCACCTGTTCGAGACTCATCCGCCCTGAGAGTTGATAATGATCGAAGTAAAAACGACTGGGGCAAAGGAGGACATCCGAGCGGTGATGGAGGCCCTTGGGCTTTGTCGCAAATGGTGTAAACTCTGCCTCATCGAGACACCCATCTTGTCGCTCCATACATCCCCATGCACGCACAGAGGATTGCAATTGAATATCCTGAAAGAGAAGAAGGACACCGGCGGCCAGAGAGTCACCGTGGGTGAGGTCTTTGCCGGACACATACCCAAGCTGCAGAACCAGGGCGATGAGAACGGTCAGCTCATCTTCAAGGAGTACTGCTGGACGTACGCTCAATCCGCCAACTTCGGCGCCGAAGCTATTGCTAATTCGCGCTTCATCCCACAGCCGAGAGCATCCCGACGGTGCTGCAGGACATACTCGTATGGTCAGCACTAAAGCCGCCCAGGAGATCGGCGCCCTGCGGTGGCTCAACAAATGCGGGTGCCAGCACGTTCCTCAACTGCTCGGTACGTCACGCAACTACAACGATGCAAGCCACACGATGCAGGAATGCCTCATCATGACCAAAGTCCCCGGTATCACTCTTCAGCATACCTATGCTGGATTGCCATTCGAGGAGCGGGGTGCCGTAAGGAAAGCCTTCAAGGTCGCACAAAATGCTTTGCGTGCATGCGGAATGGATAATGGAAGCCACCACACGGGTAACGTCCTCTGGTGCCGGGAAGAGAAGAAGTGGTGAGCTTTGTTGTTGTGTTGACGAGAGCACATGATTGTTGAACCGTGTGAAGTCGCTGATACTAATGCTTCTCTAGTTATATCGTCGACTTTGAGCGCGCTGTATTCGATACCGAGAATAATGTGAGAGAGCCAAGATCAAGCTGGGGACTTTGGTAGGATCACACGAGGGCGGTGGATAAGTTTGGTCTAAGCTGTACAGCTCGCACGCTGTTACTGTTGGAATAGACTCGAGCGGTCGAGGGGGATTCAGATGGTTGGCTTATTGGCACTCTACTCGAACGGCACTGTACGGATTGGAATGGACGGTTCTTGCCCTTCCGGTGCTTCGAGATCGCGGCATAGCATGGATGCTGCAACGCGAGCTTAGTATTGTCTAGCGATATGCTGTTGGCGAATAGATCTTGTCAGGTCACTCGATTCAAGCGTTGAACGGCATGAATACACCTCTATCGTGGAGGTATATGTGCCAACCCTTTGCCATTCATTCGTGCAGGGTCTTCCATGCAGTTACTTGTGCGACGTGCTATCTGGATGTGGCCTTCGCCCGCTTCTTCTTCAGTCGTTTTAGCGCGCTTTCACCGAACGCGTTGCTTCGCGTCTGCTCTTGCATCCAAACAACATTGTCAACATTGACGTCCTCTATCTACCGCGTACCGCCGTCAATCCGGCTGGCCATGCTATATCCAACTGAAGATGATCCCACGGTCGTTGTCATAGCCATCACCCGGATCCCAGTATCAATGGCCTCACTTTGGGAAGCGAGACGGGCGATCTGCACGCGTTGTCGCTCGACACACTAGGGAGCTCTGCGGTCAAGGCTTCCTCCACTGAACATACGAAGTCTACTTCTACGGTGGGCTGGACACATCTCCTGAACAGTCGAAGACGATGAATCGAGGGGCAGAATCTCGGCAGTTCTCCCACCATAATATAGTCTACCCATGGCGCTCGGACCATCAAATTATCCTTCCGGCGATCATCAAGATTCGTCTGAGGCCGTTTGGCTCAATGGTAGAGCGTCCGCCTCCTATGCAACCGCAATAGTTCAGCGGAAGGTGTACGTCAGTCGACATGACTGCAAAAGAGAATCCGACTGACCCGCCTTAGTGTGGGTTCGAGTCCCATGATGGGTAAGCTTCAATCAATATGCTCTCTACTTTACACGCTCTAACAACCTTCGCAGTCGCAACATGCACATCTATTTCCTTTTGCCCGTACTATGTGGCATGACGATATCATGCATTGCTCCCTTTTGTTTCCCTTTCGATCAAGAAGTGCATGTATTTCTTTCTCGTACTTCCGTTGACCCGGTCGAACACTTCGCTGACAGTTACCCATACAACGCCATAAGCTGGTAGGCGGATGGCGCAGAACTACACTTTCTACGCCTCTACGATATCCGTGTCAATGCCTCGGTGCAGCTGGAGACAAGACAATCATGCCTTTGCTTCGCCTTAGCCAACTCTTGACTACGCCCCCGCGCGCAAGTCGGATCATGCGGTGCATCAGGATCTTTGCCAAGTTCTCCTTGGAGTAAACCTACTCTACAGATCTGCATCTGGATTACCTGGTCAGGTATGGACAAGTCTTCCACAACACTGCAGAGCTATGCAACCAGCCTCACTTTCCCGCAGTCGATCGCCGATTGTAGGTGAAAGTGCTGTTGGAAGTACCAAGCGCAAGCGCAAGCGGAGGTATAAAGAAAGTACTTCTCCCATCTCAATAGGTGTCGTGTCTTCTAGATCGACCTCAGCACCAAGACAGCTTACATCGCTGCAATCTATACTCATCCCACCGCCATGCATATTCTTCTTTTTTTCACACTTCTGGCGACTGCTACTGCTGCAGCTCTGCCCTTGGAGAAGCGCACCGATACCTGCTCGACCGCAAGCTCGTCAACACTCGCTGCAGCAAAGGCCGCGTTCACGCAAGCAAAGCTTGTACCTGACCTCGTCCCGAACTTCGACCCGACACTCTCCGTCCAGGCCAACTTCAATGGCAAGCAGGTCGCCTTGGGTAACTCCTTCAGTGCGACAGGTGAGCAGTGACAACAATGAAGAAGCAGCTGCGATCAATATTAACACTTCCTCTCAGAAACACTTATGGAGCCGGCCGTGAGCTTCTCTGCTGAGCCTGGATTTGATCCAGCAAAGACAAAATACACGATCATACTCACCGACCCCGATGCGCCGGGTCCCGCAGCTCCCATAGTGAAAGATTTCCTGCACCTGATCATCTCCGACGCACAGCCATCGTGCATTGCCAGCCAAGCGAGGAAGACCCTAGCCAGTTACCAGCCATTGACGCCTCTCTCCATCGCTGCGCACAGATACACTTTCCTGGTCTACCGCCAGCCGCCGAACTACACGCCGCCTCCAAGCGTCAACTATCTGCCAGGCGTAAGGGCCGCCTTCGATCTCAATGGGTATGTCGCTCAGGGTGGTCTGACGCTCGTTGGCGGCAACTTCATGCGTGAAGGACTGAGCTCGACCGTCTGCGCTATCACACCGGGCTGCACTCAGGATGGCAAGGGGTACTCAGTTTGAGTTGCAGTATCGTATAGCTCTGAGACGTGCAGTCAGATGTTACGAGTAGTCTGCAGGAGTTTTGACAATACTACGATCCACCCTTCCGTCCAAACTACTCTGACTCGATGCCCACGCTTCCAGAGATCGAGGTAATTGTATCATGAAGACCGGTGTCGGTGTCGATGTCGTCGTCTTAGTCGTCCTCCATGATCTTCAGCCCTAGGGTAAAACTGCCGGCCGACCACGTGCAGCGGAGCGCTTGCCGCCACTTTTCTCCCCTCCACCCGTGGCGTAACCCCCACATGCCGACGTCCTACGATGATGCTCCCTCCAATCATACCGGATGAGATGGAGGCAGACGTGACATCTCCTGCTGGTGTCCACTTCAACCGTGGACATCTCCTTTGCGTCGCGGACGCTCACGGGCTTCGACGGGCTCAACAGCGTTGAAACGTGCAGACCGACCCCCTAGCCTTGTCCCCAACGAGCCATAGACGGCCATTGACATCGGAGCATAAGTAGAAGCGGCCCCGGCAGTAGGAAGAGTGGGTTTGTGTACTGCTTTCCCAGTATGCATCAATCAGACTCTGGTATCGACCTTTCTAATACCTGCATACCAGCTCACACCTCTTCGAAAGCCGCAAACATGCCCGAAGCCATTCTTGACGACATCTCCCACCGCCGATATAATCCTCTACGCGGATCCTGGGTGCTGGTGAGTCCGCACAGGACGAAGAGGCCATGGCAGGGACAAAAGGAGGCAGCGAACAAGGTGGAGTTGCCCAATCATGACCCATCGGTGCGTAGCCCTGTGGTAGGCTTGAGCTTGAAAGAATTCGGTTGTTGACCGGCGTAGTAGTGCTATCTGTGTCCCGGCAATAAGCGCGCGCAAGGCGACGTCAATCCCAAATACGACAGCACATTCGTGTTTGTCAATGACTACTCGGCGGTGAGGGAGCAGCAGGCGGAGTACAAACCGCCGGCACAAGATGGGTGTAAGTCGGCTGTGGAAGGAGAATGAATGAAGTACCAGGCTGATGATAGCAGCGCTCGCAACAAGACTTCTCAAAGCGGAAAGCACGACTGGCAAATGCTATGTGATTACATTCTCGCCAGAGCACAATGTCACTCTTGCCGATATGCCTGCTTCGGCTATCGTGCCCGTGATTGAAACTTGGACGAAACTCTACACATCCCATCTGGATCCACATTCGCCACTCGCCAAAGTCGCAGAACCCACCACTATGCCGCCCTCTGGCATCAATGGCCACCTGTTAGACCAGCCCAAACAGCAATACCGGTATATGCAGATCTTCGAGAACAAGGGTCAGGCGATGGGTTGCTCGAACCCGCACCCCCACGGTCAAATCTGGACGACCACCTCGCTTCCAGAAGAGCCTGAGGTCGAGCTGAGCAATCTCAAGCAGTATCGGCGAGAGCAAGGTGGTAGCAATCTACTGCAGGATTATGCAGAGTTGGAAAGCGAGAAAGGTGAACGAACAGTGTTTGAGAATGCGAGTTTCTGGGCAGGCTGTCCTTGGTGGGGAACTTGGCCGTTCGAGATCATGGTCATAGCGAAGGAGCACAAGCGGGCGCTGGTGGATTTCGATCAGCAGAGTAAAGAAGACCTTGCCGAGGTCATTGCTGAGATCACGAGACGCTACGACAACCTGTTTGAAACGAGCTTTCCGTACAGTGAGTAGTGCTGCGTAGTGTCGTGCGAACTCGGGTATACTGACGTCTGTACAGGCATGGGTGTTCATCAGGCACCACTCAGCGGCACCAAAGAAGAAATCGAGGCTTCGCACTTCCACATGCACTTTTATCCGCCGTTACTGCGTAGTGCCACGGTGCGCAAGTTCTTGGTTGGGTATGAGATGATGGCTGAGCCGCAGCGGGATATCACGCCGGAGCAGGCTGCTAAGCGATTGCGGGACTGTGATGGGCCGCTTTACAGGACCAAGATATAAAGCTGATGGGGAGGCAACGAATATCACGGCATGCATATTAGCGACGGAGGCATTTCTGGGCGCGGAGGCCGCATCAATATTGATACCATGGTCGCGAGCTTTCAGTAGGTCTACAATAATACAACAATGGGAAGTGACGTGTCCTAGCGCCAAGCGATCGCTCTTTCATCCTCTCCTGACCTCATCTATGCGTGCTACTTCAGTTCGTCTCACTTCACTCACACCATTTTTACATCCATCAACATCAAGCGCAGGGACTTTCCGTTCTTCAACTACGATGATTGGAGGTGAGTACATGTGTGACAGGCCGATGAAACCAAGCTCACTTCATATAGGCACTCTTCACAGGGCCAGTGCCTGCAATCTACCGAAGGGCAGATGCCTTTTCTTTACGTTGCCTCCAGAACTTCGGAATTTCATATACGAGCTGTTAAGTATGTTGCGTGCAAGACCTATGGCTTGACATGATTTCGCCTGTCACCATAACACTGGTTTGGTTTTGACACTGACTTTCCTTCTTCAGGTGCTGCTTTCGGGGCGAACGCATATGATGATTGAGGAATGGGTAGGAAAGCCGCAGTACACGAACCAACGTAGCTGTAACACAACGCAGGTGTGCCGCCAGATGAGGCAAGAAAGCTTGCCTATGTTCTATGGCACACTGATTGCACGTCTCACGCTCAAGCAAGAGAGCGAGAGCAAGACGGTTCTACACCAGTGGATCTCCGCTTTAAGCCACTATACGATTGCCCAGATCCGCCGCATCACACTCGAGGATCATCAACATTACCACGGCATGAACCCCCAAGTCATGAAGGACTCTGCTCGACACAGATCGCATTGGATTTTGACAACATTGCACAACCAGTGAGCGAAGAGTATGGGAACGAAGGCGAATGCGAACAATGCACCAAACAAAAGGGTGCTACGAAGGCCCATGTGGAGGGAGTCGTCGAAACCTTGGAGTGGTCGCATGGTCGCAGAATCTTGACGAGGCTGAGACTGCTGGAGATCTGCGAAGCGGCAGCGTGGACAACGGATATGAGATCCGCGGGAGACGATGTTTGAGGAGTACGAGGGGGTGCTTGGGGGAAATGCGAGTCCTGAACTGCCTCGACACGTAGGGCGCATCGATCTTGATACTAGCGATGATTGACTTGCTCTACAACGACGTGGCGACCGAGAGCGAAATTTGAGCAGGCCTGAGATGGGTCTCAGCGGACTATCCGACTACAAGCGCAGAGCTTCGCCTGCTCGACGCAAGCCAGCTTTTGCCTTTTCGGGTACATCTTCTGCATCCATCACCACATCAACAATCTTCAATCCCTTCCCATCGTGGATATTTTCATGTGCTAGCAGGTCTCTAAGCTTTGTCATCGTCCGCACTGTAACCGTAAGGACAGGATAGTCTGACGGTGCACCGAACATTTTCGCGAGTTCTGTGTAACGCCAGCCGGGCACATCATTGTAATCTGCTTCCATGCCGTTCAGCCATCGCTCGTACGTGTAGCCAGCGTTGTTGACGATAAAGATGGTCACATCCAGCTTGCATCGTATTATGTCGGAAATGGCCTGACAAGTCACCTGGAAGCTACCGTCGCCTTCGAACAAGATTGTGCGGCCTGGTAGCCCGAG